AAAGTCTAAACCCTAAATCCCAAACTCTAAACCCTAAATCCTAAACCCTAAATCCTAAACTCTAAACCCTAAACCCTAGACCCTCAATGCCCAAAGTGGTGTTCTCAGGCCCTGGCTGCCGGTCTACACGCGAACATCGCGCACTGCTGTCTGCAGCTACAGGTACGGCTTCAGGGTTTACAGGTTTGGGGTTTTGGGTTTAGGGTTTGGGGTTTAGGGTTTAGGATTTGGGGTTTGGGGTTTGGGGTTTAGGGTTCAGGTTTTAGGATAGGTTTGGGGTTGACGGCGTTGACGGCCTCCCTACAGCATCTTTTGGGGTCCAATCCGCCGCAGACGCAGATTCAACTGTACCGGTGCAGTGCTGGCTGAGGGAGCAGATGTATTTACCCTTCAACTCGGGTTCCCCGTACATACATACGTACATATACACTTACTGTAGAAAAACATACAAACAGAATCCTTGACCCGAATTTAAAGCCTAAACACCGAAAACCTTCGTGCCCCTTAAACCGTAAATCCCTAGGGCCCAAGAGCTGTTCCTCGCCAGCTTTATCGCCGGGCGGCCTCGGCTGCGTCGCACAGCCTCGCGATGGAAAGAACGCACAGCAAGGCCCAAAGGGTGCAAGTTAGTATGTTAAGTGATAGTGTTAGTATTGGTGCTGGCAGCGGTAACAGCAACAGGAACAGTAACAGTCACAGTAAGAGTACGAGCAAGAGTAAGAGTAAGAGTAAAAGTAACAGTTTTGTATAGTATAGTATATTATAGTATATAGTCTTTTGGTGCCCGAATAGTTGCTCACTACGTACGTAAGGGTACTTGGACCTTTTGGAATGAGGGAGGGACTGTTGGGGGCTTGGGGCTCAGGGGTTTGGGGCTTATAGGGTTCAGTTTAGGGTTGTCATGGGTTTTGGCTCTGGGGCTTCAAGGGTTTAGGGTTCATGGTTTCGGGTTTGAGGTTAATACCAAGTTGAGGGACGGTGGCTTTGAGATTGCAGCTTTCAAGCTCGATTGTTTTAACGAAGCGAGAAGCACGGCTCGCAAACCATGTGAGGAGTGTAAGTCTGCAAGGATCATACGGCAAGTGAGTACAAGCTTGACACCAAAAACGACACTTCCGACCTCACAGAATGTAAAGTTCAGCTACTTTGCTTGCAACCTTCCATGTTGGGAAGCATTGCGAAGCTGCTGTAAGCGTCGGACGAATACACCCAAGCAGGAAACAGTCGTCATTATCATCATGAGCAGCATGGTTCTGCCGGCACCATCATCTTTAAAAGCAGCAGCATGGTTGTTTCGGCAGCATCGTGAGCGTCGTCTTCAGAAATTGCAGCACCTCGACGCTCGCAAATCATTTAACACTTACTGTTTTTTGCAATATTATACTACATAAAACCATTTTCGTTATATAGCAGATTATGACACATTACCCTTTGGCCCCAAAGTAGTTCCTTTTTGGGGTTACTTTATAATGTTCTATATATGAACCCCAAGAAGGAATCTACTATGGAGCCTATGGGTATGCCCAAAATCCCTAGATGCCTATAAATCCCCTTATAAATCGCCTGATAGATCCCCTTATAGATCCCTTTAAAGGAACCCCCAAAACCCCTAAATCCAATCACATTATAGACCCAAAGGGTCCAGTGTAACGATATAGTACAATGTAGGGGTGAAATATTAGGAACTACTGTTATGCCTTAGGGAAGTATCCCCTATAACAGTACATAGGACCCTTTGGGAGGAACTTCAGCTCGTCGCTGCAGGCATTGTATCGGCGCTGCCTGGCTTTAAAGGCTTTGAAGATGCTTCCGGAGGCCGACGTTCATCAGACTTTCGGGGGTTTGGGGTGTTAGGGGGTTGGGGTGTTAGGGTTTAGGGTTTTAGGGTTTAGGGTTTGATGTTTTAGGATTTTGGGTTTAGGGTTCAGGGTTTAAAGCTTAGGGTTTCGGGTCTGGGGTTTTAGGGTTTAGGGTTTCGGGTGGGATGTGCAGTGTACATAGGACGAGAAGTATGAGTGGATTCAGGAGATCGTCCGGCAAGCATTGCGTAAGGTTAGCTGTATACAAAATGGCCACTGCCATGTTACTCCTGGCTTCCGTATCGACGGATGCAGAAAAACTCTACATGATTGTCCTTGCAACTGCTTTTTCTGTATGGCCATATGGGTGTTCATGTCGTACTTGGTTTCCGCATCGACATGGTTGCGAGGAGGCAAGTATGTAAACCGAAGGCAGGATATTTCGTCTGTCACGTTCGGATATGATGCTGACCGGTACCACCGGGATCCCCCAGAGAGCATAAATTCTGATCTGCCTTGCACCTGTAGATAGCTGCAGAACCAAATAGACAGAGACCTGACACAGCTCCGTCGGCATCGGCATGTCACGATGACCTTATCGAGCGCTGCATGAAGGTAAACCAAGCGAAGTGACAGGCCTTCGAACGATGCTACTACCCGCTGCCACCACTGTAAACGACGCGTAACAGGCTTTGTATGGGGGCCCACATAATTACCAATACTATTGTGGGGGTTCCTTCTTATGATTATAATTCTAATGGGCCCCAGGACCCTATTCTAATCATTAAGGCCCCTGCAGTAGGAGATCCCAAAGCCTGATTTCAGATATCGCATAAGGTTCAGGCCCCATGAGCCCTATGACCTACTGTTGATGATATAAATCCTGCACTACCTTAAGGACCCTAAACTATGGGAATTATGGTATATTCCTTTTCTGGGTAATGCTGGAATTTTATCATCAGCTGTATGAACCTTCAAGCTGTAGCTCGTCGCCCGAAGCCCTCAGCCTATAAGCTCTAGTTCCTAAATCTGCAGCCCGAAGCCATAGACCCTTGGCCCGGGGCCCCATGGTCGCTACATACGGTTGATGATATACATCCTGCATAACCCATAATAAGGAATCTACAACAATTCCCATAGCTTCGGGTCCTCAAGGTAATGCAGGATTTATATCATCAACTGTTATATATCACACACACACACACACAAATCCTTCCTCTGATCAATCATGGACGCTCTTGCATGAAGCCCCTTACTGTAAGCTTATCGATTCCTGTATATAGTGCCTTTAAAGCAAGCCTCAATCACGCGGTATGTTTGGTAAACCGCAGTCCCCACTTCCCACATTCCCCGAGCCCCAAAAAGCCCTAAAAGACAATCCTAAACCCTACTCCCTAAACCCTGATCACTGAATTTGCCTACACCCTAAACCCTGAATCACAAGCACTAAACCCTAAACCCTATAACCTCTACCCATGGGCCCCAGAGTAGTTCCTTTTTGGGGTTCATATATATATATATATATATATATATTCCCCAAAGAGGCACTACTTTGGGGTCTATGGGTAAACCCAAAGCGCAGGCCAGAGCCGACTTCGAGAAGCTTGCGCAGACATGTGCGCCCATTTCTCTTTCCTGACGAAGGTTTTAGGGCTTTTTGGATTTATTTTCTAGGGGTCTTGGGGCCAAGGGCCTAAGGAAGGAGCTTGTGCTTTTTTGGGGGGTTTAGGGTCTTGAGTGTGGTATGGGGATTTTGGAGCTTGAAATTTAGGGTGCAGGGCTTGTCATAGGGCTCTAGGGGTTTAGTGTTCATGAGGTTTACTTGTAGGCATTCAGACTGTGTAAACCTAGCCTGCAGGTGCTCAGGTCCGTTCGTGGAGAGGATAGACATGGATGCCCATAGGCCTCATAGTAGTTCCTTTTGTGGCTTCATATATAGGATATTATAAGGTAACCCCAGAAAGGAACTACTTTGGGGCCTATTGGGAGAAAGGGATCCTCTGTTGTTTCAGGGATTCTTCCGGGTTTGGGGTTTTCGGAACACCAAAGTCCCTACATGACCATAGTATAAAGTGCCCCCCCCAACACCCTCTAGTAGTTATTAAGGCCCCTGTTAGAAGGACCCCCCCCACCCTGTAGTAGTGGTATAACAGGAATATAATACAGGACCCTAATATAATCCTTATAGTCACTATTACAGGGTGGGGGGGGGCCTTCTAAGGCCCCGGCATGTTCAGGGTGTTCATTCACCTAACATGGAATATCCGGCAGAGCCTTGCTGGGAAGACCATGATGGGTGACAGGAGGGTCTTCTGTGTTCAAGCTTATATTTATCCTAAGGCCCCAAAGTAGTTCCTTTTTGAGGTCAATATTTAGAATCCTACATAATGTAGTCCCAAAAAGAAACTACTTTGGAGCTTATTATATGGGTAGGTGCTCCAACGATCATTCGTAAATGTCCCTGTATGCTTTCCTATTCTAACAGGTAAGACCACTTTATGACAGCCTGCACGGGTGCTAGAAGCTCTGCAGAAACTCAGAAATCCACATAAAGCGCCAGAGCCCAAAACACGCATAGCAACCCTTTGAAAAGCCCTACACAAACTTGTTAAACCTTTGAAATACGAGGAAAACACAGTTGCTGTGTCGGGAAGGCCACGACCTGACGGAGAAAGATTTGAAGAGGCTGTACCGGCTGGGGAACCGCTGTGCCTGACGCCAAAAGCAAAGAAGAGAAGTAGTAGGGTTTTATGAGGGCTATGCTGAGGGTCAGCATGAGCGTGACTGTAAGGGCCCGACTATTGAAGCAATATACTGCTGGTCCACATGCCTTCTTAGTAGCCCTTAAGTTTGCTCCTGCCACTTTTTCGCACTGTCGCTCTCATGTCTAGGGAGGATCACAGGATGTTCGTGCACCGCGGCTTGCCCGACCCCGAAGTTATCTTGTTTTCTTGTCACAGTAGCTGTTGTCATGATGGACCGCTGCTGGGTGCAGTTGAAGCCGAAACTGCGATTCGTCGACCGCAGCTGCCACGAGCTTTTTCAGCACTCAAAGCAAGCGCTCCGTGATGCTTCCTTGACGCCATGTACAGCTTCTGTTTCGGCAGAGCTGCTGGCGACGGAGGCCGGGTGCAAGCCACTCAGTAGGCAGTGGCTTGCCGGGCGGCTGCTGCCCTCATCGGTCCCCATGGAAGCTGTCCGATGCACGGCGGCGAAGCTGGCTGCAGGGCATTCGGGCACGATCCCCAGAGCACACACCTGGCACAGAGTTGCAGGACCTTGGATTTAGGGTTTAGGGTCCAGTGTATCAGTGCTCAATATCGGTATTCTTGAGGCTTGCTCAGAGCCAAGCCCGTCAAATGATGTCAAAGTTCAGAGCCTCTAGAGCACTTATCTTCAAATGGCAGCGTAGCACTCCGAAGTCCTAAGTTGTTACACTGTGGACTTAACGCTCTGATCCCAAAGCTAGCCTTCCAAGTTTCACTCCGCAACCCTGGATGACATTATAGTCGATTGTAGTCCATTAGATAAAACAATAGTCAGTTAAACTCATTGTAATATACTATAGTCCATTGGTCTGTGTGATAGTCTATTTCAGTTTGTTTGGCCCTCGACACTATACTCAATTGCTTTGTGAAGGAGGCCTCAGGGCGAGTTGGCTGCATTCCGGGCGAACCCGCGTTCCGCCACCACAGCGCTGAATCAACTGGTAAAGGACAGCATCAGGATTTAGGGCTTTGGGGCAGAAGGTGTAGGGTTCAGGGTTTAAGGATGCTTGGTGTGGGGTCGGGTGGGATGACAAGATATAATGTGGAGGTCGTATCCTAACCCGCACACCGGAACCATAATCAGTGTACAGGGTGTCCTTGGGCATTGAACGCCAATCCGAGTAGGATGAAGGACTGATCGGACACCCCAAAACTCAAATCTTTGAACCCCACAGCACCTCTTGTCGGAACTTGGAGGTTCATGGGTAGTTATAAGTGGGGTTGTAAGTAGGCTAACTACACTTATATCCCGCATTAGGGGGCTAAAAACTCCACTTATAACTACCCATGAACCTCCAAGAAGTCATGCTGGCTTCGTCTGAACACTGCAGTTCCTCTGAGACTCAAAACTGGGCTGGCCGCTGTACCGAACTGGTATATTGCTCCGACTCCTCCTGCTGCTGCTGCTGCTGCTGCTGCTGCTGCTGGTGCTACCACTACAGCTACCGCTGCCCTGGCCACTACATGTTTTTACTTTTATTATCTGTAATTACTGTTGTGATGACTGCTGTTGTTGTTGTTCTTGTTCTTGTTGCTCTTGCTGCTATTGTAGTAGCAGTTGTGGTTGTTGCTCCTCCTGCTGCTGTAGTTGCTTCTTTCTCTTCCTTTCGTGCTGGCAATGTTGATCTTGCTGCTCTGTTTCTTTGTTGTCTTTTTGTCGTTGTTGTTGGTGGTGGTGGTTGCTGTAGTGCCATCGTTCATCAGCAGCTAGTCAGTCATCTTAAGCCCGAAGCCCTAATCCTTGAACCCTAAACTTTGGGCAGGGCCCCCACTCAGTAATAGTTGAATAATGTTCATAATAAAGATATATTAGGACCTTAATAGTAGCCCTGTTATAGACTCCTACTAAACCCTAAACCCTAAACCGGGCAGTACCTAACCTAGACTGTTGCCTCAAGGACAAGCGGTCGGGCGACGCTGCCAAGTTGCTGGAGGAGCTCATCTCTGGTCGAGTCGCGGTGGACGAGGTAAGCTTAGGGGTTTAGGGGCTAGGGCCGGGTTCAGGGTTTAGGGCCTTAGGTTTTGGGGCTTTGGGGTTTAGGGGTTTCAGGCTTCGGTTGAGGTTTTAGTGTTCGGAAGTTTCAGAGTTTGATCAGCATTCAAGCGCTTATGGGCTTTGGGCTTCCAAGTTTCGAGTGCCTTGCACGGGGCTTCGGGACCAAATATGTAGCGAGAATTTACGAACCGATGTACTCTTCGGCAATTAACCCTAAACCCTAAACCCTAAACCCTAAACATAATTAGACCCTTAAAAGAACAACCCCGAACCCTGGCCCCGCAGCTCATGTCCCTACGTGGAGGTTCATGGAACATAGTAAGTACAGTTATAAGTTCCCTTAATTGGGGTTATAAATCATTATAAGTACAGTTATAAGTTCCCTTAATTGGGGTTATAAATCATTATTATAAGTATAGTTACCTGGTTTATAACCCTAGTTACTAAGTCCCATGAACCTCCAAGTACACCTGGAGAAGGTACACTTTAGAGCCGTGCTTTTCGGCGTTGCGGCTTCGCAGGCCGGCCGGGCAAAGGAATGTAGCAGTACTCGATTTGATTTTTTTTGTGCGTGTGGTGCAGAGACGAGAGTAGGTTGATGGAGAACGCGGGGCACGAGGGGCACGGGGTCAGGGCTTGCGGCTTGCGATGGGATGTGTCGGAATGTAGTAAAACTGAGGGGTGCTGTGGGGGCTTCGCCGAGAAGGACCTACTATGCTATTTCGAGTCCATATGAAGGCCAAGGCAGATAATGTAGGAACCTGATTAAGAAACCCTTGGCCTTTATTTGGGTTCCTTATTTGAATCCTACTATATTGGGGGGTTTCTAGGGCCAGGGTTTCTTAATCAGGTGCCTACATTCCCCTAAACCCTAAACCCTAAACCCCTAAACCCTAGCTACCACAGTCTGAGCCCCGCACGATGCCGTCCATGCTCGCAGTCACTCCCAGCTCCTCCGACTCCATGAGCATCATCACCCCACCACCCTAGCATTTAGGGTTTAGGATTGTGCATAACGACTCGCGGTCGGCATTTTCAAAGTCTGTCAACCATTCAACAACCACCAACCTTTTCCTGACCCATCGTTGTAAATGCGCGACATGGCGCGACCAGGGTTTGGGTCTGGAGTTTAGGACTTTAAGACTTAAGGTTTCGAGCTTGGGGGTTACATGCAAGTAGTGTTTCGGTGGTAGTAGACGACAATTATTATCTACTACTACTACGACGACGACTACTACTACTACTTTACAGGGTTTAGGGTTTGGGGTTGTTTAGGGTTGAGGGTTTATAGCTTAGAGCCCCAAAGTTCAATCCCAGCTCTTCTAACCGAAAGCCATAGCTCAAAGTCCAGACCACCTTCATGCTTCGTGCAGTCCTGGATGCTCGCAGTCCACCTCCTGGGAGAGATGGAGTACTGCCGGATACCGTACAATAAAGGTGCCTTGGAAGAGACGACGGGAGCTGGGGCTGCTTCAATGCGGGCGTCTCTACATCATCTCAGGGGTTAAAGGTTTATATACAGCTGCTGATACTGTAACGATGATACAAGAGTGCCATGCCGTACGACAAGGGCACTACCTTGAGGATTGGGATAATTGGTGCTTGCCCATCTGCTACACGACAGTCCTTTCCAGCCTTGTTGCAACTGTCGCGTAGGTATGATTCCTGGGACAAGTTTCGTAGAGTCGAAGGGAGCTGTTTTGGGTGTGCGTGTGCGTGCGATGGCTTTAGGGCCTAAGCAGAACTCAGCATTTCGCAAACCTTGGCAAGAACTAGGCCCGCAGCAGCTTTTGAACGCTCCCGGAATACGGAGTCAAGTGTTCTGGGCTTAGTTGAACTTTTTTGGAAGGTAGAAATGTGACAGTTGCAGCGCATAAACTGCAAAACCTGAAGCCCAAGAAGCCCTGAGCTCAAAATACCTCAGACACTGGAACCCCCCTTATTCAGTGAGCTTGTCTAGAATTGTGGTCGTTCCAGCTTACACTTGAAGATGTATATTTCGTAGATTCGAAGCATGTAAGGCCCATAAAGTAAGTGTGGTATCTTGAACAAGACTTTTTCACCGAAGTGCAGGAGTCCTTTCTCAGGTCTGCAGTACATTGAATTCCTTGGAGGCTTTTTTGTGCATGGAGGCAACTGTTAGTAAGCTTTGTCTTGTTGGGGGTACGGCTTGGAGTCGGCTGAAGATCTTTTGCGAAGCAAGCCGTAAACCACCCTTCAGCCCGAACTAAGTCGATTGCGATCTGAGGCGCTTGTGATGCGGCCATCAGCTCATGTCGTTCCAGCGGCAAGTGGGAGTCTTGGCTCTGGTAACTTACCTTTGGTTAGTAGGGAATGGAGGAATGGGGCATAATTATATAACTACAATTACTACCATTCTTCCATTCCCTACTAACCAAGGGTAAGGTAAAGGAAGTTGATTTACGTTGCCATTACGGTTTCGCGATTTGCACTGTAGGTACACATTAAAGTGAGACTCAGTTCACATATTCTACATCCCTTGTTTCGGCATTTTAAGTTCCTATAAACTTTCGATCCCGTTTATGTAAGCTTTCAGTAAGCTTTTGTACTGAATGTCCTAGTACGATAAACTGAATTACGTGCTCGCAGATACTTACTATGGTGAATGTCGACAAAGCTCGCATGACGAGAGCCCATGCAGGAGTTGGCACTGAGCTTGCTGGCTTCCTTGCACTTGGCGACGCTTGTCGGGGACGCGGTCACGTTCAGTACCCGAGCTCATAGTACAAGGTTTATGTGTTTTGCGTGGGAGGACCTACTGTCTCGAGGTTTTCCTGTTATGAAGCTCTTTAATCCTCCACTAAAGACCTCAGACATCCTAAGACGTAGGTCTTATGTGCTACAGGATTGGGTATGTTGTTTAGAGTTACAGGCTATGGAGCTGAGGCTTCAGAGGCGGCTCCGCTTTGGATGATTTCTTGGTAGGGGTTTGGGGTGTGGGGTCATAATAGTTAAAGCAACTATTGTACATATTTAGAATCCTAGAAGGCAATCCCAAAACAGAACTACAATGCAGACTATAGGTCGGCGTTCATTGTCATTGCATGCAGCAAGTTGTGTGGTTTAGGGCCCAGGGCTTATGGGTCTATGGCAACGTCCCAGTGAGGGTACTTCAGTAAAGCCCCGACGTCTCAAGGCAACGCGATGAGCTCCTGTCTGCGAGACTTGCGGTGGTCAACCTGTCTTGCGCTTTTTCGCTCCATGGCCCTCCGACAGGTCCGGCCAGACAGCTACTGTTGCAACCAGGCCTATATCGCGCAGGGATCCGGGGTGGAGGACATAGAGTTTTAGACTTAGATTTCACTGGGTTGTTTTGGACGGTTAGCGAAGTTTAGGGTATAGCGTTTCAGCTAAGGGTTTTGAGAGGCCTTACCCCCCAAGAGAATTCTTTCTCCACGTCGTCTAATCTATGATGATGACCCCGAGAGAAAGGACAACTTCAATATCCCGCCACTGGTGTTGCTACGAAGGGGGCTTTCTCCCTGAACCCTGAACCGGACCTGTTGAGCCGTTGAGCATGTTGAGCTGTTTAGAAGCTCAACCCCACCGTGCAAGCTAAGACCCCACCCCGAAGGCCCAAGCGAGAGTCCTATATCCAAGTGGTATGGTTCACCCTAAACCCTAAACCCTGAACATAGTTAAAAAAAAAAACCCTGAACGTTTTGCCACCGTATCCTACAGCCCGCTCTCAGGCAGTGTGGCGCTCAGCTCTTGCAAAGGCAAGGCCTGGAGAATCACCCAACTGCTTCTTCTTGAAGACTATGCATGCGCGAATACGTACCTGGGCTGCTGTCGGTTTGCTGGATTTTAAGGTTTGCGCATGGTGGCCAAAGGTTTCGGGTTTAGGGTTTAAGACTTAGGTTGCAGGCTTCAGGATTTCGGGTTTAGGATTGACTTTTCGGGCGCAGGGTTTAGGGTCAGGGGGGCCGCGTCAGTGCGGGGACGCTTCGGGGGCACTACCTAGAGTAGTGAAGGTACCTTTGAAAAGGTAGATTGTATCAAGTTGTATAGGGTCACATCCATGTTGAAAGATACATTGGTTACTCTAGGTAAACCCTAAATGCCCCAAAGCTTAATATCGGGGGCCCAAACAATTGCCAATAATATTGAGGGTTCTTTACTATGAATACAGTATACTGGGCCCCAAAACCCTATTGAGATTCTTAAAGCCCCTGTGTTACACTGGTTACTCTAGGTAAACTCCACACGCCACAAAGCTTCAAGGATCCAAGTATCATTATGGTCTACATATATTTATAGGGCATTTGGGGGGTCTAAGTATACACCATCAGGATACTTGGACCCTTTGGGAAAGCCTCTAACCCTAAACCCTAAACTCAAATGCCGCAAAGCTTCAAGGATCTGCCAGAATGCAGCGCTGAGTGCCGGAGGGCACTGGGAGTCAGTCCTCGGCGTGGTGGCGGGCTTGGAAACCCGGCAGGCGCGGGGCTATGGGTTCAGGTTTTAGGGTTTAGAGTTTAGGGTTCAGGGTCTAGAGTTATCATTTAGGGTTCAGGCTTTTAGGGTTTAGGGTTTGGGGTTTAGGTTTTAGGGGTTTCGGGTTTATGGGTTTAGGGTGTAGGTTTTAGGGTTTAGGGGTTAGGGAGGTCAATGGTTGGGTTGGGGTGTGTGGTTCCTCAAATCCCTCAATCCTGCATTCCTGAACCCCGCATACCAAGCCCTAGACCCATTATAAGCCCCAAACCCTAAACTGCCGTAACCACAAAGTATATAAGTAAGAGCTTCACGACTCCGCGAACTTCGGCCAAGCTTCCGGGCTCCGGGTGGGCAGACTGACTTGAAGAGGGGATCGGCAAGGGCCCGACTTCCGATGTTGAGGGCGAGAAGGGTTAAAGGTTTTAGGGGCTGGGGTTTTACGGTTCAGGGCCAATTTGGGCGGTTAAGGTTGAAAACTGTGGGGTCAAAAGTTCATGGTTTGTGTGTGTGTGTGTTATTGTTTGTCCTGTCGCGCTGTTCTGGAGTCGGATGCGGGCTGCGTCGAGTGATTGCCAACCCTTCCAGACAAACGGCCATTTTGAACCTTCGTGTTTCTTCAAGTTTTTGTAACTCTCGACTCGACCAAGAAGCCGCGAAGCTACAAAGCCAACACACAAACTTAAGCAGAAAAAGCCTTAGCCCGCAAGACTATGCTTCAGTCGCAGCCTTGCACCTATACAACTAACTACAATGCCTGCTGCTTTCGTCGTGATATCATAATGCTATAGCAGAGGCGCTCCTAAACCCTGAACTCCAAAGGCCCTAAGTTAGTTTTTAACTGGAACCAACAGGTTCAAGCCGACACCGTGACCTTTTCGACTGCATTGGCCTGCGAAGGGTTTTCTGACTGGCCACTCGCGCTGCGAATCACCGACCACATGAGTGCCAAGAAGGCTCACTTGAGGTAAACTTCTAGTTAACATGCCTTACTTGTGAGGGCTTACGATTTGAGATGGTCATGGTTTTCGATTTGGGGGAGAGCTGTGGCTGAGCATGAAGCTTCCCATTTGCGTTGTTTGGGGGGCTCCAGGGGCAAGGAAGTGAGTGTGGGCTTGGCTCCCCTCAGAACACAGAGCGCCTCAAGCTTGACCGCCCCTGTGCCGGAATACTCACGGTGAGTTTTGCGTCGGCACCCACCAATGCAATACAAGATAATGCCATTTAATTGAGTAGGATATAAGTATTTACATGTTATATATATACAAATATGCGTATGTCTTGTACTCTAGAGCATGTAGGTCTACCAATAATACCATGGACATAGGTCTCTGACGTACCGAACCGCCCAAGCCGGTAACCATCAGCCTTGGTCAGGCTACGCCGAACATCATCACTGTGAATGCCGCACTCTCTGTCTGTGAGACACGGGGAGAATGGGAGGCGGCTGTTGGGCTGCTGAAGGCAGCAGCCGCTGAAAGACTAGGCCGGATCTGGGGTCGGAGTTCATCCATCAGTAAGGACCCCCAAAAGGACCTGCACAAAAACCATAAGGTTGGGATATCCCAGAATCCCCTCTTCAATTAAGCCAATACGATATGGATGTCCCACCCGAAGGTTTATGTTTGGGTGCTTCTTTGGCCCTCAAATCAGGTTTACATGCCCAGAGACTCCAATATCCCTTAATTATAGGAATATACCTCAAATTATAGTAGGATCCCTAATATGAGTTAAGGTATATTCCTTAATTAAGGGGTTTTGGAGGCTCTGGGTGAAGAATGGGGGAGCTCTTTGGGAGCGCAGGCCTTTGCAAACAGGACCGCACACTTGGAGGGTCGGGGGACTTAGTATGTAGGTAGTAAGTAGACTTATAAGTACCCCAAAAGGGACCCTAATTGGGGGTATGGTACTTATAAGTCCATAACCAGTTACTGAGTCCCCCGACCCTCCAAGCACCCAGGTCACGCATGGATGATTGCATATGAACCTGCCAAAAGCCGAGCATAATGTGGTGTGCAATCAGAGTTTGACGTGCGTACACTGCTACCATCTGCAACTACAGATGAGAAGTTGTCAAAATTACGGTCCCTTCTTGGGTACCTTAAGTAATAGGTGCCGTATTATATTAAGGACCCAAAAAGGGACCATAATTTTGACAACCTCCCACATGCATTGAAGAGTTATGTAAGCTGAAAAATGCCCTGGATGGGCATTGCCAGGTTAATGTGTTCAGAGTTTGGGGTTTATGAGTTTCATGATCTGTAGTGCCAACGATGGGATGGCAAGTGCACGGTGTGCGAACGAGAGACTTGTATTCAACATAAATTCGTTGTGGGCTGTTTGTATCTCCGCAGACTTGAGATATACGTACGGATTCGCTTAGTTCAGTTATGTTTTGGGTGCGGTCTACGTGCGTATGTGCTTATGTGCCTGCTGAATCCGTCGCTGGTCAAAAAAGCATTAGAAGCGGAGGCGATACAAGCACTCCAGTACGTGAAGATTCGACCTGCAAGCAACCTTTCCACCTGAACCCGAAATCTCGAAGCAAAACCCTAAACCCTAAACCCCTAAACCCCTAAACCCTAAACCCGCAAAAAGCACACACCCGTCGTCCTGAAGCCCAGAACCACTCTAACACTCTAATATAGAGGTCGGAGCAATTTTAGAATACCCTACTTTATAGTTCCTATGGGACTCCAAAAAAGAAAAGACCTCGAAAGCCCCAAATATTCAATGATGAATTGCAAATCCGTGTAGAGCCATTGTGGAACGCTACATAGTTGAACTCTGTCCTGAGCAGTGAGAACAACAAAGAAATCTCTACTCTAGTTCGCAAGGATAATACAAGACTCTATTCCGGTCTCTACAGATACCCGAGCATTTTATTCTGAAGAATCAGGAAGATTTGTGCTCTAAGCCTTAGACCATACCCTAAACCCTAAGCCCTAAGCCGAACCCCTAAACCCTAAACCCAAATCCAAAACCCTAAACCTATAAACCTAAACCCTAAACCCTAAACCTGAACCTAAACCCCAAACCCTAAGCCTAAATCCAAAACCCTAGAAACCCTAAGCCCAGATCTCAATTCTCAGGTCCCACTGCAATCACCCTGAACACCATCATCAGCGCCTGCCAAAAGAGCGAAGCCTGGGAAGAAGCCATCGGGCTCCTGTGAGCCTCGGCTGGTCCTTCTGGGCCTAGGGTTTAGGATTTAGGGTTTCGGTTTAAGGTTCAGGATTCAGGGTTTCAGTTTAGGGTTTGCCTGAACCCTAAAAAGCCTGCCTTTTCAGGGTTCCTTATTATGATTTCCCTACAAATGTGCTTAAGAAGGTAGGTTATTTGGGGTCAAGGCAGGGTTTAGGATTTAGGTTTTGTAGGGTTTGGGATCTCCAGATTCGGGTGCAGGGCTTGCAACGAATCAAAGTCAACTCAATTGCTCTATACCCTCAAACCCCAAACTTCAGTAATGGGGCTCTAAGGTTTGGGACGGTAGGTGTAGGATGCAGCCACGAGGGTTACCATGTGTTTTTGCGGTTTCGGGTTGTGGTTCCAGTGTTGCTTCAGGTTTCGCTTGGTGTCAGTGTTCCGTAAGATTGCCCGCCGGCCCACAATTTTGTTGGCTGCGTGTCTCGATGCAGCTTGGGGCTTAAACTCATGCTGTGTATATATATATATATATATATAATGGTAGTTCCGAGCACAGGTGTGGACACTTTTTGTGTTATTCCAGGGTGTTGAAGAGCGGCTTTACTTCCGGACACTGTGAAGGATTGGTGCTTGGGAACGCTACATTGATGAACACTAGGTTGCCCAGTAGTACCCTTAGGCCTTTGTCTCCTGGGTCTCAAAGTTCCATTCAATCACAAGGAGTGCCCGTACCATTTACTTATTCAATCACAAGGAGTACCCGTACCCTTTACTTTTCAAGGAGTATTGTGCAGCTTGGGTAACTCAGCAGCTTGATTGTTTCTCAAACCTATAGACCGATGACACTTGAGCGCCAGCGCCCAAGTTGCATCCTGGAGACGTGCTGTTGCTCAGACCCTATTGGCGTAACCCCTGGACCGCACACCACTTATCCTGAACTCAGGGTGGGTGGGGGAAAGATCCTTCCCGAAACAGGCCGTGAGATATTCCCGTCCTGCCTTTCCGATGGAGGTATGTAGGTTGGAGACGTCATGGCTATTCGTGCTGAGGCTTGTTTCGAACAGGGTTCCGGAATTTAAGAGTAGGGGTTCAGGGTCAATGCTGAACCCAGAGACTCCAATATCCCTTAATTAAGGAATATACCTTAAATTATAGTAGGAACCCTAATATGATTTTAGGTATATTCCTTAATTAAGGGGTTTTGGAGGCTCTGGGAGGCTGAACATGAAGCCTTGTTCCAAGGTTCACTCCGAAGGTGTTGAACAATCGGCCACGAACGGTTATTGTAAAACCTAGAACCTCGGAAGAAACCCCTACAGAAGCCCTCAATTACTACTGGGGCCTTACCTTAATAATTTTTTAGTAGAATATACCCCAAAACCCTATTCTAATTATTAAGGCCCCTACGTTTTAGAATCCTGCTACAGATCCCTTTTAAGGCAGCCCTATTCCTAATCAAAAAGGCCCCTTAAAGCCCATGAGTTTCTTGGCGTTGCCTAGGCCGCATGCCCACTCTGCAGCTTCAACGGGAGCCTCGCGCTACACCCTGTGTTTCGGGCCGGGGCTGTCGGATCCCATCCACGTATGTAGGGGCCCAAATAATTGCCAATACTGTTTTAAGGGTTCCTTATTATGCTTATAGTATCATTAAGGATCCCTTTTTATACTTATAGTATCATTAAGGATTCCTTAGTATACTTATAGTATCATTAAGGGTTCCTTATTATACTTATAGTATCATGGGCCCCAAAACCCCATTAAGCAAGTAGCCATGAAGCAGCCCAAGGACTCCTTCAGCTACAACGCAGCCGCTAGCGCTTGCTGTAAAAGGCACTGGCGCCGTTCGCTCGAGCTGTCTCTCGGCTGTCGGGTTTCGAGGCTTTCAGATCACATGTTACTGTTGGAATCAGCCCGAGTGGATGTTAACAGATCAGGAGTTGTTGAGGTTGAGAACGTAAGTGTCTGGGAACACGGAGCTGTCACAAACAAGCGACCCTGACATAGAATACTCATCAGTCAACTCTTGCTTATGAGGACCTCTTTACACCTAAGTTGCCTCTTCTTTAGAATCCCCACATGTGCGATACCCAAAGGCCCCAAAGTAGTTTCTTTTTTGGGGGTTCATATATAGAACCCTATAAGGTAATCCCAAACAGGAACTACTTTGGGGCCTCTGGGTAGAGCCGGATAGGAGCAGAGTGTAAGTGCAGCTATGTGAATCGCATAGCTCGGATCTTAAGCGTCTGCTCAACCGGGTCTACTTGGAGGATCATGGGACTTGGTATGTATGGTTTGGGGTTCCTTTTTAGGGTACTATAGGGTTCTATAGTAGGGTTCCTTAAAGGGATAAGGGGTCTATACTTGGAGGATCATGGGACTTGGTAAGTAAGGTTATAAGTGCCGAGGTTGTAAGTGGTTGTGAGTAACCCTGCGGGGCATCCCGAGACCTACCGTGTTAGCGGCTATATAATATAGGGGCCTAAATGCGGGGCGATTCTTGATTATACTAAGATCCATCCGTGAAGCCTTTGGAGAGCCCTAAACCCTAACATCGGTCAATTTTAACTTAAGCTCTTGCTCGGCAAACCCCGTAAATCTGAAACCCCAAAGCAGAAATCCTTCTGAAATTTAGCCTTAAGGCGGGTAAGTTTCCGGCAGCCTAGTCTTATCCCAAGTCCAAAGGCCAACTTCACTGAAGTCCAAAGGCCAACTTCACCGAAGTCCAAAGGCTAACTTCACTAAACTTTACATTTTAGTGTTTTAGGTTTGGCTTAGTCAGAAGACCTGGTTATTTAGGCCCCTTTGTTCAGGGATGGGCCTCGCTTGACATCCACTTTTCAGAGTGATGTGCGCGTGAAATATGCAGGTTTCCAGGGCAAGACTTCAAACTTGAACCCTAAACCTCAGGCTACGATGTATGACAGAGGAGAAGATCTCTCCTACGATGCTTCTTGGCAGGCATGGTTTGGCAAGCGCTGCTCAAGGAAGTCGGAGGCCCCCATTCGTAGAAGTATCCCCTTGCAGTCCTATATGGCTATACCTAGACCCCCAAAAGTAGGTAAAATAATGGCCCAAAACCTTTAAAAGGCTATTATTCTACATACTTGTGGGGTCCAGGTAGTATGATATATCCCGAGCTTATTAGCGACCTTGCCTCCTTCTAGTCCCTACAACAATCAGTTTGCAGTATTATCTACCCCGAAACCATATTTGCACAGGCCCCTTTGGTAGTCAGAGCCTCAGATATTCTGAGTCAGTAACCAACAGAACACCCAAACACACAACTTTTTGGTAGGATATTACTGCCTAATTGAGAGCCTAATTGGCTGTCTGAAAAGCCAGATATGGGATGTCCAGAAGCTTCTTCTGTTTGTGTCGGTGCTTTTTTTTTTTAATGGGGGGGGGGTCGCTAAGATAATCTTCCGAAAGTCGGGGGGTTCAGGTGTTGACGGGCTTTGCAGGTTGCCGGGGCTGTTAAGGGTTTTGGGTTTAGGGGTTCGGAGGTTTAGGCCGAGGCACAAGGGTTTAGGAGTTTGACTTTCGGGGTTCGTTGTGTAGTTCGGGGTCAACAGAAGTAGTCCTGCCGTCCCGCACCCCAGCCCTATACCGTACCCAATACCTCATACCCCAATACGCTAAACCCCGAACCCGAAATTTGCCCCCTAAACTAAACCCTAAACCCAAAACCGAGATTCGAGATTCGATATCCTAAACCTAGCCCTACACCATGAACATGCGCTCAGACCTGAGAATCCTTAACACCCGCCCCGCCCCCCCCCCACCCATTCTTTATGCCCTACACCCCTACGTCAACCCTCAAGCCCCGAAGCCCAAGAACTCCCTGGTGCTAAGCAGGGAATAGGGTAATGGATTATGAAGACTACTATTGGGGACTATATAGGGGCTACTATAGGGATCCATTCCGCCATTCCCTACTAAGCACCAGACAGAGAAAGGATCAGCTACAGTACCATGCTGGAAGCCTTTGAGCTGCTTTCCTGAGCGAAGTTTTCGGGGCTAGGGTTTAGGCTTTTGGGGCTTGGGGTTTAGAGTTCAGGGGTTAGGGGTTTAGGGTTTTTAGAGTTTGGGGCTTTGGGTTTGGGGTTTTTTTGCAGTGGCACAGGGTGGCATGTGTAGTTGAGTATCAGAGAACGCCTTGTGCCTGAACTCGCAGCAGATTCTGTCATCTCTACTGTTCCCGCAACTCCCCGAAGATCTAGACCATGATTCCGAATGGACCAAGGAAGGGAGGGCGCTGGAAGCAAGCGCTCGCGATGTTGGACCGCGGATTCAGGGAGGGGATGTTTCGGGTCTATGCATCCATGTCTGCTGTGCTCAACGCTTGCGGCCACAAGAAGAGGGCTTCCCACGTCTCAGAAGTCATAGGAGGCCAAAAGGGATTTAAGCCTATTGGGTTTAGTCGGGATTAGGGTTCCCATAAGGATTCATATTAAGGAATCCCTACCCCCAAAATCTTAAACCCCCGCTTTGGCCTCCCATCAAGAAGGGTTACGCATGGTGATGAAATTTGCAATTGCGAAAGACTCGCGGGTCAAGGCAGATGTTGACTTTAGGAAAGTTGGCTCCCCTTCTTGACACAACATATGATGTGTCGCAATTTTTTTTGAGGAAGGGATGACCTAAACCCCAAACCCCTAAACCCTAAACCCAGCCTTTTGGGCTTGTTGTTTTGATTTGTCGGGCTCAGCTTCGGGAGTTTGGGGCATATCGATCAACTTCTAACAGATTTTAACATGTGGGTGGTTGTCAAAATTAGGGTCCCTTTTTAGGTACCCTAAATCTTAGGTGCCGTACGTACTATAATAAGGACCCCAAAATGGACCATAATTTTGACAACCACCTATGTGAACAAACCGAATCGTGTGTCAACGGCAAGGATGTCGTGAACCTGGTGCGCTACGTGCCCGATGTAATTTGCTTTGGCTCCGCCGCTCGCCTCCACCAAACCGCTATACCCTAAACCCCTAAACCCAAATTCCCTACTACACCCTGCACCAGCATAGTATGCTTCAGGATTTTATAGCATGCTATGATATATCGTACAGTAAACCCGGCATGATCGCCACATCAGTATCTTCAGGACCAAGTGCCGGCATGACACGGTTACATTTTGACATGAGGGATGACGTTCCTATGCTAGAGATGCGACTATTCCGGGATACTTCTTTGGGTCAGCGAAGATTTTTGAAACTCCCATCTTGGCGAACCTAGCTTCTTCCGACTTGTTCGAAAGACCGTTTTCACCTTTTTCTCAGTTGGGTCATCCCATGAGATTAACCACATTGTTTCGATATGTGAAGTTGGACAAAGAAGGGCAGAAACAGACCTAACCCTTACCGTACCTTTAATTAGTAGGTCCTGAGGTAATGGAAGAATGGTAGTAATAGTAGTTATAACTGTACCCCATTCCCCTATTCCCTGCTAACCAAAGGTAAGAAACTAGAAGGGGCTCGGCCTGCTCTGAAACTCTGCACCAGAAGGCACAGAAAGCAACTTGGCGGCTTCAGGTTTCAAGCTCGCAGGGAGTGGAAGCGATAAGACCCGTAATTCTCCCGAAACTCGAACACTGGCTGCTAGTGACCCTTAATCATTAAACCACAGGGATCTAAAGAGATGTAAAGCCCTGCAGAGTGCTTGGCTAAGACTTGGAACGCCTGCGCCGCACCCGCTGAGCCTTGACGATACACCCCTGAACCCCAAACCCTAAACCCCTAAACCCCCTAAACCCTTGCCTCCGAGCCCCTAAAGCTCAGACCTCCATTACAGCCCTGGACCGCTCTGTCAGGTCATTTCTGCTGCAGAGAAGGCTGGCCAAAGCCATGTGGCGTTCGATGTACTTCGCCCCCTGTCTGAGTTTTGGAGGCTAGCAGGTACAGTAGCTGACAATGTGCATGTGGGAGTTTCCGGAAATTAGGGGTACCTTATTTTGGGGTCCTTATGATACGGATCCTACTACTTAGGGTACTATATTAGGGTCCCCTGTTTTCGGCAACTCCCATGTAGAGGTTCGTGCTATCCACAGGAGCGGCTGCCACGATTACTGCCACTACGGCTGTGGCTGAGGCTGCCTCTGCTGTTGCTGCTGCTGCTGCTGCTGCTGCTAGTGCTACTGCTACTGCCACTGCCACTGCCACAGCTACTGCCACTGCCACTGCTCATGCCGCTGCAGCAACAACAACAACTACTACTACTGCTACTCCTCCTCTTGCTGTTGCTGCTCTTACGACTGCCACCATGTCTCTACTACTAGTGCGATTACTCCTGCTGCTGCTAGCAGTAGTAGTGATAGCAGCAGTAGTAGTAGTAGTAGTAGTAGTAGTAGTAGTAGTAGTAGTAGTAGTAGTAGTAGTAGTAGTAGTAGTAGTAGTAGTAGTAGTAGTAGTAGTAGTAGTAGTAGTAGTAGTAGTAGTAGTAGTAGTAGTAGTAGTAGTAGTAGTAGTAGTAGTAGTAGTAGTAGTAGTAGTAGTAGTAGTAGTAGTAGTAGTAGTAGTAGTAGTAGTAGTAGTAGTAGTAGTAGTAGTAGTAGTAGTAGTAGTAGTAGTAGTAGTAGTAGTAGTAGTAGTAGTAGTAGTAGTAGTAGTAGTAGTAGTAGTAGTAGTAGTAGTAGTAGTCGTCGTCGTCGTAGTAGTAGTAGTAGTGGAGGTGGAGGTGGAGGTGGAGGTGGAGGTGGAGGTGGAGGTGGAGGTGGAGGTGGAGGTGGAGTAGGAGTAGGAGTAGGAGTAGGAGTAGGAGTAGGAGTAGGAGTAGGAGTAGAAGTAGAAGTAGGAGTAGGAGTAGGAGTAGGAGTAGGAGGAGGAGGAGTAGGAGGAGGAGCAGGAGGAGGAGGAGGAGGCGGAGGCGGAGTAGGAGTAGGAGTAGGAGCAGGAGTAGGAGTGGGAGGAGGAGGAGGAAGAGGAGGAGGAGGAGGAGTAGGAGCAGGAGCAGCAGCAGGAGCAGGATCAGGAGGAGCAGGTGAGCAAGAGGAGCGGAAGTAGGAGTAGGAGTAGGAGCAGGAGTAGTAGCAGTAGTAATGCAGTAAGTCCTCTGCTCAGGCGAGATGGAAGCTTATGGCGTCCAGGCCGATCGCATCTGCCACAATGTGTTTCGACTGCAGACTACACGCACAAGCAATGCGCATGCAAGCTCTTTGGTATCACGGCCTGCAATTTCGAGGACGAAATCCGGAATCTGAACTGTTTCAGTTTCCGCCGTGAGCAAGCATATGCAAAACCCCCACAGCAAACGCACTGGACCGACCAATCCTAAACTGAGTGATGGATTCATAGAGAACCCCGTGAACATAGCGGCGCAAGACCCTGTGAACCCACAGCCCTATCCCTGAAACTCAGACCCGAAGTGTTCTGCAGTTTGGATCGCAGAATCCGAATTAGCTGCAGTTGCTTTAGTCTCCAAGCCCCAAACTGCTAGCCTGCATGTCTTACGGGCCACGTTCCCGAGGCAGTGCTCAGCGCATGCGAGAAGTGCCCTGGACTTGAGAATAAGTAATGTAGTGGCTTAAGAATTACCAGCAATTACTATTTTGGGGCTCCTTATTACAATTATAGTATAATGGGCCCTAAAACCCTGTTCTTATGAAGTCCCCTATATTAAGGAATTCTGCTCCTGGTGCGTCTGCGGCTGCGGCTGCTGCTGCTACTGCTGCTAATGGTAACCGTAATTGAAGTACAACTAATAATACTATATAATCATACCAATACTCATACCAACAATAATGACAACAATAAAAAATTAGCAATAGCGGTACTAGTAAGCAATACAAACACAGCGACGACCTCAAGCACAAAACAGAGCCATCATGATGGCTTGTCTATTTGCTATACTTTGTTGTTGTTGTTGTTGTTGTTGTTGTTGTTGTTGTTGTTGTTGTTGTTGTTGTTGTTGTTGGCGGTGGTGTTTTTACTACCACAAGGCTACCAGCCCCGCCAGGAGCACCGCAAAGTACCAGCCCCGCCAGGAGCGTCCCCACCATCACCATGACCACCTTAAACACCAGCACCATGAGCCCCAGTCCCAGCCGTCCCAGCCCCACCATCCCAATCACAACGTAGCACCCACAGTCTTAATGACCGGGGTTTAGGGTTCAGGGTTTAGGAGTTTAGGGTTTAGGGTGTTAGGGTTCAGGGTTTTGGATTTAGAGTTTTAGGGTTTTAGGGTTTAGGGTTCAGGGTTTAGGGTTTAGGGTTTAGTGCCTTGTTCTTTGGGCAAGACCACTGCGCAAGTATGCATCCAAGGGGCAGCCAGTGGCCCAAAGCGCTCGACCTACTTCAAGGCTGCCGGGCTGATGTTCATGTAGATGTTATACGGTATGATGGCCGTTGGTGCTATTGCAGAGTAGTTCTGTCGTGCTAAACTTGAGCTGGCACTCTTGAGACCGTCATGACTCGGAAAAGATAGAGGGTGCTTCGCTTGACTGTGTTACATTCGGGTCGTACAGAGACGAGAGTGCAGAGGTCAGCATGCTCTCTTGTTTGGCTTCCAGCACGAAGAGTTGGACTTGAACTCTGGGTTTAGGGTTTAGGGTTTTAGGGTTTAGGGAACTTTCTACAGACCCTAACCTACCCTACCCTAACCTACCTTACCCTGTTCTACCCTACCCTACCCTGCTCTGCCCGTTCCAGACCAAGACTTCCGGGTCTCCTGTTTTAGGGGATTGGTGTGTTCTTTGACGGGATTGCTCGTGCGAAATTGAGATGTCGGTGTTGTTCAGGACCTCGAACCTCAACGAAAAACACCCATACCCGAGATGTTGGTGCTTGAGGGTTTTGTCTATTCGGCAGTTAGACTGGAACCCTTGTGCTACAACCCGCACAGATGTACAGAGATACCCTTGGACCTACGAGTTCCGGCCAGGCATGGATGACCGGGCTGTCCGACGTGATGTTGTGAGTTTCAATGCGGTGATCCGAGCATGCGCAGCGGTCGGGAGCTGGACCGATATACTCAAACCCTGACACTCTTCCTTGGGCTTGCTTATTGCAGTCTAGTTATAGTTTTTTCTACCCCAAAGCCCTGTCCTGGTAGCAGATCAAACCAGTTTCAGACAGGCTTGCTGGGGTTGGCAGGGGACTAAGTCCTTTCTTACAAACAGGCATCGTTTAGACGGTTTGGGAAACTCCAAATACTAGAGCTTTGTCCATACCCCATGTTGTCCACGGCCCTCATGCAGGATCAATGCGCTATCGCTCTTGCAAGACATGCTCTCACTGGCATTGACCCCAGACGATATCAGCATCTCAACGGCATACAGGTGCTCAATTACTGAAACCCTCAACCCGAGAAGTTAAAGATTTCGGATTGGCTTTACGTCGCACTGCAGAGCATTGCCGGTGATCCATGTAGAGCTCGTGACTTCTAAGCCCGTAGCCAAAATCAGTGCGACTTATGCTGCGAAGGTGTGAATTCCGCCATCACCGCATGTGAAAAGGCAGCTCACTGGCGAATGGCCCTGCTCCTCCTGGGCCAGGTGACCGGAGATCTGAGTCACAGACCGCACAAAGTCCTTAAACCCTACACCCCGAAGTACATCAAGTGTTTAGTGGTTTAGGGCTTCGGGACTTTAGGGTTTAAGGGCTAGGGTTGATTTATGCGTTAGAACCCAGTTGTCCTTCAACCCCCACAGCAGCAACCTCTAGACCTTGTAATATTTAGCCAGCTGCACAGTGCACCTTGAAGGAGCCCTTGTATAACGCAGAAAGCCGTAAACTCCACATTGTGTGAGGGATCGTCGGAAGGGCGAACTGTTGAGGGCATGTTCCCGGTCCCCAATCGCCCAACAGTTGGCGACGAGGTGCGAAGGTCATTTGTGCATCTGAAAGTAGGTTAAAGTTAGCCCAGAGCCTTTTTATGTTATGTATATACATATATACATATGTACATATTTATATATATTTTGTGTGTGTGTGTGTTCTTGCATGTATACATATGTGTCCAGAGTATGCAGGTGTGCTTCTATGCATACATGCATGCATAGACGCACGTCTGTCTTTTCTGCGTTGAAAACATATGAATACATGTGTATGCATTTGCGTATGTGCGTGATGTCTGTACAAACATGCAGTACCCAGGGAGGCAGGTAGGTAGGCAAGTAGTTAGCAGAGCGGGTATGTAGGTAGGAAGGTAGGTCGGTATGTATGTAGTAGGACTCGACTGTGTGTATGTAAGTTCCTTAGATCAAGCACGTACATACATACATATACATACATACATATATATATATATACATATATATATATATATATGTGTGTGTGTGTGTGTGTTTATTTATACGCAATGACATTAGTCTGTTTTATAGTGTTTCCTCGACGCATTAGGATAAGACAGGGAGTCTTCTGCTGCACCGTGTCTTCTGCTTAGCAGGGCCTTGTGTTACAAAGCGTCTTCTGTTGGACAGGGTCGTTTCTTATGTTGGGTCGTTTGTTACGCATGGTGTTGTGGTTTGGTCCGTAAAGATGTTGAACTTCTTGCACATACTAAAGCCTTTTGGTGTGTATATGTTCTGTACATAACTATACTCATACACGTAGACACACAACTGATTACTGATACACAGACACATGCATGTGTCATTGTGCGTTCTCGTTAAAATACTACAGATATGCGGCCTTTTGCGTTTTCACAGATGTTTGAACGGTTTCAGAGTTCTGTGAGAGACCCTACACCAATATTGAATCGCTCACCAAGCCCCGTAGCCCCAGGCCCTAAACGACCGAGCTTGCAGGATCGGCTACTCCGCCGCCATGAGCGCGTGTCAACGGGCATCGAAGTGGTCCCTGCCTCAGGAAAAAACTTGGGGTTCATGGTTTAGGCTGTGCGACACTAGGCCGGGACCGGGAAAGAGATCTTTTGCTTGTGGCGGCCGCTGGGAGAATCATGTAAAACGTTGAGTTCGTGCAGTAGGACAAGGTCATGGCAAGTTCCCGGACAGAGATGGCAACAACAGCCAGAGCTGTCGTAGCCATGATCATCGTGACAGCAAACAGTTATGGTAATTACGCCATGCCGAAATATCAACATTTGAAGTTACCCGTCTTCGAACGCATACTGCTCTTGTACTAGTAATACAGTAAGCAGTAGTGGTAGCTGTAGCAGCAGTAGTAGCAGTAGCAGTAGCAGCAGCAGGAGCAGTAGCAGCAGCACCAGCAGCAGCAGTAGCAGCTGCAGCCTTAGCAGCAGAAGCAGTAGCAGTAGCAGTAGCAGCAGTAGCAGCAGTAGCAGCAGTAGCAGCAGTAGCAGTAGCAGCTGCAGTTGCAGGAGCAGCAGTAGCAGAAGCAGTAGCAGTAGCAGGAGCAGCAGTAGCAGAAGCAGTAGCAGAAGCAGTAGCAGTAGCAGCAGTAGCAGCAGTAGCAGCAGTAGCGGCAGCGGTAGCAGTACGGTCGATGGTTTAAATCCTGCATGACCTTAAAGACCCTAAACTATGGGAGGTACGGTACATTCGGGATGGTGGGTACGGCAAGATGTTATCATCAACCGTAGTAGTGGTAGTAGTCGTAGTAGTAGTAGTAGTCGTCGTCGTCGTCGTCGTAATAGTAGTAGTAGTAGTAGTAGTAGTAGTAGTAGAAGAAGAAGCAGCAGAACGAATTGTCGTAACAAAGTCATGTCGGGGTTTCCGAAAATAGGGGACCCTAATGTAGTACCCCAAATGCGAACGGACTGCGATGCCTTGTCAAGTTCTAAGGTGTCACTATAAGAGCTGTGAGCAAGACCATGTAAAGTGCAAGGGAAGGGGGCACGCTACGCGTCCCTCGACTCTAAGGGGGCACGCTACGCGTCCCTCGACTCTAGGAGTAAGCTTGTGGACGTGCTACGCACATCGCTTCTCCTTACCTTTCTATGTGACCGCCCACGCAACGTTTGGCTCAAGTCAATGCCCATAGCTAAGTGCTATATGTGTCTTCTATCCTGAGCAATCAGAGCTATCCCGTTGCACAGACGAACCGCCGCCGGCAGCGAGTGCAAAAGGAACGGCCGCCGGTTCTGCCTGCATAGGATTGCAACGTGTGGAAGTGTGAGAGAGACAGGGTCCCAGTCTGTGGAGAGTGCAAGCCAGCCACACCTACATTCATTACAGCTCTGGTGGGGAGAGCAGCAACACAATCGAGATCAAATCCCCACGCAGGTTATCAGCCGTACGCGGCTCTGCCTTTCTGCAGCAACGACTACTTGATCTACTACGACCACAATGAACTCGGGATCAAGCCAAGATACGACAATGACTTTCGGTGCCGATGTGGCAGCGCCAGCCGTTGGTGAGTCAACAGCTGATGACACAGTGGTGCAATCCGTTGATAGCTCCACGGAAGATGACAAAGGTCAATCTTCTGCGCTTGCCATTGCAAAGGCAGTTCCCAAGGTGAAAGCAAAGAGTCTACCAAGAGCATCTACGCCTTCGCGTCCGACATCCACAGGTTCGAGGACGGGCAAGGCTCCAGAACGACGAGCCGAAGCGTCTGGTTTTCAGGCACCTCGGACTACGTCCAGGGCCAAGGACAAAGGAGTGAAGACCTTGGAAAAGAAGTCGAGACCATCATCTTCGAGAAGCTCTTCAGCACGATCAAGGACTTCGGCTACTCGTGGGCGTGACAAATCCATGACTTGGAATCGGATGGTTACCAATCAACCACGTGATGCTGACGATCTGGATATGACTCTGGACACTATTCCTGCACGTGGTGATGCGTCATCGGTGACCACGCCAGCCATAGCCGATGGTCCGAATGCCTATCAGGAACTGACGATTTCGCAACAGCTCGAAGCATCGAACCTTGCGCAGCAGATGTACTATCGCAGTCAGATGCAAGAGTACGAAGGAGTTGTCCAGACCCTGATGGATAAGATCAAGGAGATGCAACAAGAAGATGAAGGATCTGGGATTCGCATCGAAGAATTGGAACGACAACGTGACCATGCATGCTTAGCCATGAGGCACATCAACAATGTCAATCAGGAGATGAAGCGAGACTATGAAGCAGCTTTGTTTCGCATGGATGAACAGAACTCTGCTCAACAACGTCAAGCACACGCCGTTGCCGAGGAGTTGGCTCAGCAGCTACATGTGTTTCGCACGGAAGCAGCCACTAACTTTGTGCAGCTGGAGGCAAGAGCGCAAGGCGATGGTGAGCTTATGGCACGTGAGTATGAGCATCTGACTCATGAACTTCATGAACAAGCCAGAGAGAACTTGTTCCTCCGGTCGAACACAGCAAGTTCGGAACAAGCCTTACAAGCAATGCAGGAACGATTCCACTTGGTCAAGAATCAGGAGTTGCGGGCCGTGAACGAGATCCAAGGGCTAGCTGGGAACAGCGCAGCCATTGATCAAGAACGACTTCGGCTTCGTGAACGTCTTGGTGAAGAGGAAGAGTACCGCAAAATGGCTGTGAGGAGGATGCAAGATGCAGAGGACCGACTTCATCAGAATGAAGATCATGCAAGGCGCGCATTGCCTACCTTGCACGACGAGCTGAGTGAACTCAGGAAAACACTCAAAGCACAAGAAGATCTTCAAGCGAGGACACGCAGCGAATTGGAGGCAGCACGGAACTCCAACTACCATGGCGGAGTGACACGGCCTTCGAGCATGCCCATGTCTTCGAGGACTACTGAGTCTGGCTGGGAGCACGTAGGAAAGGAAGTAGTGCCTGCATTTTCCGTAGGAGGTGAGGTACGATCCCCTGAAATACGGTCCCCAAGTCAAGTTAGTCCAGTCGCCAAAGAGAAGTTCGCATTCTCGGAATCGGACAAGGACAAGAACCTTGCGATGGATGGAATTCCATTTACCGGTGGAAACTTCTTCACTGGCCGCATCAAAGGTGAGGTGAATAAATCCTATTCAACGCCAATCGTGGCGCGGATGCAATGCCCGAGCACTACGTGCCAGGTATTAGCAGCCCAGCACTTGCGCGTTCCACGCCTAGTGCAGCCACTCTGTTTGGCATACCAAGCGGATTTCATGGGCAAAGTGATGCGGCAGCCGTGCGTGATCGACAGCTACGCGAACTCTTGGAGGATCGCGGGATGTTGGGATCGAAGTCCACAGCATCTGCCAGCTCCTCAAGACCTGTTGGTATCGACGGCATTATCGCATCTACGAAGGGCAACGACCTCATTGGTCCCCCTGTCGCCTATGACGATTCTATCCATGAGGCAAGGAGGCGTCAGATCGAGAAAGAGGTCGCGGAACGGTACGAAGAGAAGATTGCCGATCTGCGAAGCGAAGTACTCAAGGCCCAGAAAGCCGAACAACGTCTCAGAGCTGATCGTGATGAGTGGAGATTATTTGCTGAAACGATTCAGGAAGACAATGGAGACGATGACGGTGATGAAGCTGGCGACGAGAACGGAGAGGGAGAGCATGATGAAGGAACCGGCACGGGGTATGATCCTCCAGATCCGCCTGATGATGACGATGATGATAAGAAGAGAAGCGGTGGAGGCAAACCTGACCCGGATCCTGACCCTCATGCGCGTGATCCTGATGGAGACGCAGATCCTGAAGTCACAGAGGTGAGAATTTCCAGGAGGGAAGCCGATAAAGTGACCGTTCCTCCATGGCCTACTCTCACTCACCTCAACAACTGGCGATCCGTATGCACGGCCAATGTTTTAGGAGCATCAGCCGACCCAAATCATGAGGACTGGATGTTATGGCTGGCACCAGCGTTCAACCCATTCCCTGATGTCGAAGCACTGAACGATTCAGGACACAAGAAGTTCAAGAGCGTAGACGTCAAATTGGGGATCGCCATGGTCGCAATGCTACGCGCTGGTGGTGACAAATCTGCTGATCTGTACCTGGAGGTGAACCGGAAGGCCAACGATTACATCAGCAGGCCCGAAGGGAAGATCATCAAAGGACGACAAATCATTGCGATGATGTATGAAAGTTTTCGAACGCACGATCGTCTCGACATGATCATCACTCTCGAGTATCTGGTGAAGCTCCAGTACCAAGGCGACAACAAACTTCATACGTTCAAGCAGACGTGGTTGGAAGTTCTGGGACGGATGAGGCCAGAAGACATACCATCCAAAACAGCTCTCCGTGATTGCTTGTACAGCAAGATCAAGGACTCGCCCGCAATGAAGATGGAGTTGGGCATGCACTACGAACACTTGCCCTACAATCATGAAGACCGATCGTACGACAATCTGATGAAGATCATCGACCGTACCATCATGCGGAGACGAGAACAATCAAATCTCACTCAGACCCAAATTGGCTTGCGCCAGATGCTTGAGGGCAAGGATTTGCTTGCTGCACCGGCCAAGGTACCTGAGAAACCAACGCCTAACGCAGCTCCATCCGCAAAGGTCAAGGCTTCGCCGACCAAGCCGGATAAAGCAACACCTGTACTACCTCAAAGCAAAGCGAAGAGTCATGCGAAGACCAAGCCAAAGCCCAAGAAGAAGACGAGGAGTGAGTCAGCGGACAACAGAGGCGACAAGAGCAAGAAGCAAATCCGCTGCAAGTTCCATTTCACAGATGCAGGGTGTCGAAATGGTGACAAGTGCCCATTCAGTCACTCGAAGAAGACTCCAGAGCGACCCTTTACGCCGAGGACGAGAACTCCAAGTCCGTCTGGAGGAGGAGGAAATAGGATATGCTACTCGTTCAAGAACACAGGCTCGTGCTCAAGAGAGAATTGTCCTTTCAAGCATGAGGCAGCAGCTACCCCAGCTCCGGAACCAAAGGCAAAAGCTAAAGCCAAATCCGAAGCAAAGGCAGCTCCAGCGAAGCCGAATGCCAAGGCCAAGGCGCTCCCTGCG